ATGAAGAAGAAAAAGAAGAAGGAGCTTGACGAGGCAAACATGTTGTTGAAGGCAAGCACAAGAAGACCGCACGGCGTGTCAGATTAGTACGCTGTTTCCCGAAGAAGGTGCTCTTATAGCACCCTATCAAGCTACAACATACAGACCAGGACGCGCAACGCGCCCGCCCGCCCATCTACAAATGTCAGACCGATGCTGATGCTCGTCTCGCTCTATTGTGAAATACAATATGAAGGGAAGGGACTGATACAATATGAAGGGAAGGGACTGATATGAAGCGCGCACAAATGCATACGTATCTACCGTGGCGTTTCCTAGCACGATGTGAAGGGGAACCCGCCCGGAATCACTTAGTCGTGAAGATCGAAGGCCCTTTTGCTGTTTTTTACCGTTTCACTTCGCTTTTTCGTCAGTTTCCAACTATATAGCACCCCAATATCTTAGACCGAGCACCGAATTATTGTGCCCCGTGCCTTTGAAGTGCATGAGAACATCGTTGAAGAAATGCAAAAGGAAGACGCTATGAAAGAACCACTTTGGAAACATGGGGCTTGCTTCATAGCCGCTACGTGGCAAGAGAATAGTAATTTGTCGCGCCAGAGAGCGTCGCTTGTGACGTCGTGCCCCCTAATGACGACGATTTTAGGTGGTATTGGTCGAGAATAGACAATGTATGACCAAAATAGACACAGTTGTCTACCATGTCCTTGTCTACATGAAATCCGATGCTTCAGTCGAAAGGGTAGCACAAATCGAGAAAACATCGCGCCAATTGCCGCGCGCGACCAAGCGGCAATTTACGATTCTCTTGCCCGTCTCCCCTGAGTTAGTAAGACACGTAACCCCTCTATCTGAATGTACGCTGACTGTGAGTATGTTTAACTAAAAACTCCGTAACTTCATGCAGAATGGGTCGCAGCAGACATGATGTTTGGGTTCGTAATCGTCGCCTGGGTCACGCTGTAGCATACATTTCATTTCAGACGCCTTAGACTTTTTATAACTTTGAATTTTTTGACTTGTAACAATGAAACTTTCTCGAAATCAGAGGTTAATTGGTTCGACAGTTGCACTAATGACTCTAATCCAAGAAAAGGTTAGTAGAAGCGAACTACTTGAAAAAAAACTCGAATGACATGGGCACTTCATAGCGTTCCCTTACAGTTTTAACAAAACGTTTGACTATAAGGATGGCATCGTAGAGGCGCTTCTTTTATTTCCGCCTCCATGTTTGTCAGCCGTGGATTCCAAGTGATAATCACGTCCGTCCGGTAGCTAAGGCATGTCATGTCTCTTCGACACCCTGATGGGTTCGGCTATGATTTTTTTTTCGTCGGAGGAATGTGGCACTCCTTCAATCTAACCCGTTTGTTGCGAAATTGCGAGTGTTACGGATCCACACTGGCTGTTTGCAATTAACAAGCAAAATGGCTAACAGCGGACACGAATCAGAGAACTTCATAGCCCCTGAGATCTGCATGAACTCTGCCGGTAAATGCAGTATCATGAAACCAATAGACGATGCACGAGGCTGCCCTTTTAAGCTTGATAGTATTTATCCTAGCTAATCTACACCCGCACATATAGCTGAGAGCTGATTAGCCGAAGAGTGCAGCCTGGGGTGTCCTTTCCAACAGTGAAGGTCGACTTGCTGGAATCCAGACATCCTCCTTTAGTCAATGAGAAACAAATGCCGCACCTGTGGGCAGAGGGTACGCCATCGTTGTGATCATTACAAGGGCGGCGGGGGTCGTCTTGACCGCTAAGGAAGGAGACGGAATTCGCATTTGGATCAGTCTCATCGGACGCACGCGTACTATTTCCGACACTTGAAAATGATAGTTTAATTCTGACGACATCCCCCCCCCGCCTCGACGGCTCGGTTCGATGAGGAAGGACAGAGGGCTGGGAGGGGGGGGGGGTCGTACCAACTCCCAAAAAGGGGGTCGTATTTT